CTTTATCTAAGTTCACAAACACCTTATAAAGATCCTAATTAGGCAACAAAGGTACCGAGCTAGCTAGAGCTCACCTAACTAATTCTAGCTTGCAAGGTCACACAAATCTATACAACTAGTACTTCAAGCAATCGGGAGAACTCCTACACAACTAGTGATGTAAAGCGCACAAAGCTCTAAGCTCACTAGCAAAGCTCAATAATAAGACAACTAATGCCAAATTAGAGAGCGTAAATTACTTAGCTACATAAACTAAGCAATGTGACTAACAATGTTACTCAAACCGAATTAGTCACGCAAGGGAGCTACATCTATGCTACATAAGGAAAAAGGTAACTAGCGAGCTACACAAGCTAACTAATTACAAGAGCAACTACACAAGCATAATGTATATGAAAGTAACTACAAGCTTGTGAAAGGGAATGCAATCCAACGGGATGACAAAGATGATACGATGATTTTTATCCTGAGGTTCACGTGTTTGCCAACACGCTAGTCCCCATTGAGACAAGCTCCAAGGTTGCCGCCGATCCTCCTGCTAGCGGTGACCCGCAAGTCACACTCTCCCACGTGGAGTGCTTACCACAAGCTCTAGCACTTGACCTGGTCGGACCACTTGTCGCCCGTCACGTCTCGCTCTACTAGAGCTGCTCTTCGTGGCTCCCGCAGGGTGAGCACAATCCCCCTCACAATCACTTCTCCGGAGCACCGCACAATCTTCTTTGCGTGCTTTGACGGAGACCACTACCAAGCCATCTAGAAGGTGGCAACCTCCAAGAGTAACAAGCACCACCGGCTTGTAACTCGATCACCTAGTGCCACTCGATGTAATCTCTCAATGCAATCGCACTAGAATCACTCACTCGCAATTGATTCGCACTCTTGCAAGCATAAGTGAGTTAGAGGCTCTCCTAGCACTCCCCAAGCATGGACACTAAGTCCCAAGGGTGCAAGCATCTGCCAAGGCCGGCCACACACTCCTTTTATAACCTCAAGGGCTAAAATAGTCGTTACCTCCTTCACTGAGCAGAGTCTAGTCGCTCCTCGTGCGCCACATGTACTAGCCGTTCAAAGAATATCGTTGCTCGCCAACGGCTAGCTCCCGCATGTGCATACTCCTGACCGGACATGCCTAGGTCCAGCGACCGGACGCGCTGAGGCCGAGTCCGGTCACCAACGCGTCTCTACACAACTGACCGAACTCCCCTTTCTCCTATGACCGGACTCGACTCTTCTAGAGTCCAGTCACTTCCAGAGAGGTTCCAGAGAGCTCTTTTGATGACCGGACGTGTCAGGTCATCACTGACCGGACTCTCCTAGCATCCGGTCGCTTCTGCTCACGAAAGAAACACTGATCGGACTCGCAGGTGCTGGCCGGACGCGTCTGGTCGCAGAGTCCGGTCATCGACCTTTCATCGCTAAAACGGCTATAACTCTTAGCTCCGAAGTCCGATTTCAATGATCTTGGATATTTTGGAAAGCTTACTCAGAGGGCTACACATACCACTTGCATATTTAATCCAAAGCACAATGGATCAATGCAGAATTCCAATCCAAGGACCATCCTATAGTTCAGAGTACACCGAAAAACATTTTTCTCTTCTCTAAGTTGATCCAATTCAACTCCAACAACTTCTCCTTTGTAAATGTGCCAACACCACCAAGTGTACACCACCATGTGCAAGTGTGTTAGCATTTCACAAATATTTTTTCAAAGGATTAGTCACTCATTTCACCACACCACTCGATCCTAGCAACGATGCAAAGTTAGATCACTCGAGTGGCACTAGATGACCGATATGCAAACAAGTTTGCCCCTCTTGATAGTACTGCCATCTATCCTAACCCTGGTCATGCACTTCTCTACACAACCTTTGACCGGTAAAATAAAATGCCCTACAAATATACCTTTGCCTTGCGCATTCCATTCCATCTCCTTCAATGTCAATGCAACACATGCACCAACCAATCACCAAATGATATGATCCATTTCATATCATCACGTGACCGTATTGGTTCATCGATATTGACTTCACTTGCTCTTCACCGTTGCCTTGGTCCATCGGCGCCAAGTCATCACTCAACTTGCCCTTCACACATGCAACCGGTCCGTCGAGCCAAGTCTTGTCTTAATCTTCTCCACCTTGGTCACATGACTCCATGTCATGTCTCATATGCAATGAGCTCCTTCATCACATGTGTGAGCCTTGCAACATATCCAAACCATTTCACCTCCATGGCATAGGTTGCTCACACATGATGTACTTGTAGACTAATCACTTGTATATCTCACTCAAACACATATTAATCTACCTAAGGTTGTCACTCAATTACCAAAACCAAATAAGGACCTTTCACCAATGGATCCACTCAGATGGAATGGATAAACTAAAAAGCGGATAGCAGCAAACTTAGGAAATTTGAGATTCAGAATCAACTAGGATTTTAGTAGTTATAGACTTGAGTTGGTGTGCTATTGCAAAGCATGCTATGATATGCTATGCCAAATAGCGCCCACTAAGTTCCAAGGTGATATCTTCAGTTGCTATGTCATAGCGAAGAAGCTTAGTAACAACAAGGCACCCCTATTGCTGTAACGGCCTACGAATACTATAGCAGCCGTTACGAATACTATTTAGTACCTTGCATGTTGTCGGTGTTTTGTAAACCAAGGAGTGAATTGATGAGTGTCACGTTGATCTAGAAAGACGATGGTAGCACTCAAAGACACAAGGAAATTATACTGGATCAGGACGGAGCCCTACGTCCAGTCTCGGAGATAGTTGCGAGTTCGTGTTCCTCGGTTCAAGTGCTCTGAAGTCTTACAATAGGGGTGCGTAAGCGAAGGGATTCAAGGTAAGAGTGAGGAGAACGAAAGCCCGAATGGAATCTCGAGATTTCGTCCCTTGTGAAGGGAGGCCTGGCCGCCCTTATATAGAGTCTGGGGTCCAGGTTACATGTTGATAAATGGGTTCTCCCGACCTGAGTGGTCGAGAGTCCGAGGGAGGGAGAAGTGAGTAAACTTGGCCAGCAATCCATCCCGTCTTGTCATGGCATCACCGCACGTTCAGGCATGGTCATCGTCGTGGTCGCCGTGATCTTGCTCCCCATGCCACGGCGTGGCGTGGCGTGACACTACAGTGCCTATCGGCATGGCGGTGGTTCACCAACTATCCTATGCGCGCGTGGTCTTGTCGTGGCCTTCATCATCGTCTCTTGTTCTCCTAGTGGCGTCGTGACGATAGCGGGGGAGCAGGTGGCTGCTCTCGGGTTGCTAGTCGCCCTTCCGGGTTGTGGTGCCATAGACCTCGATCCTGGGTTGCCAGGTCGAGGCCCCTGGTGACCTGGTTGGTCTTGTGGAGTCGAGGCCGGGGTCATGCGACCCATCCTGTAGCGGGTGGGGTCGTACGCCTGTTTTGTCGGGCTGACTGGGCATTGCAGTGCTGTACGAGATGTCACTGCCCTACGGTGGTGTCTTGTCTATGCAGGGATGGCATCTGCCCCGAGATCTCATGTCCTGAGAGATGGCTGTCCTCTTCGTCTTGGCGGGACAAGTGGAGCGTGCCTGTCTCTGTCAGGGCAGGTGTACTCGGTGGCGTTCGGCCTCTCCCCATCCTTTCCTAGAGGTCAAGACGGGGGAGAGGTCGATCGTGGCTACGTAGCATGCGGTGAAAGGAGAAGGGGGTAGTCGTGGTGGACCGCTTGACTTGGTGTTTGGCCCGGGGCCTGCGCGGTGTAGGTGGGCCGTAATTTCTAGGCCTTGGTTAGCTTGGCCGCCCGAGTGGCTAACCATTCGGTGCCTTGAGACACCTGGGGTATCTTGACCCTGACACATGTGTACCTGTCATTAGTGTCACACTTAAAATATGGTAAGCACAAGTGCTCTCTATAATTAAGGGAGGGCTATATGCGTCATTTGTATTAACTCAAAGTTTGTCCTAAACTTTCTAGAATATCTTATATTTCATGACGGAGGGGGTACCATATTGGGTGATTTTTTTTCTCGACCGTACCACAAGGTACGTATTTAATTAAGAGGAAGAAGAGTTGTTGAATTACAAAGCTAGTGGAAATCCAAGGATTACCGCACTTGACAAATCATCCCTAAAACACACGCAGGGAAATGAAGCAGCCGACGCAAAGAGACATGCTCATGCAGTACAGACTCTTTAACAGAGCTGCGACGTGCGCGACCAAAGAGGCCACGCACAAACCACACAAAGATGACGTAATAACCAAGAAAAAACTACATTGGGCAACACCGATCTAGTCGTGAAGGCTAGACCTCATCGGCGCACAGCTCCACGTTCACTAGATCAGTGGAGAGTAGAGCCGACATCGCGTCACGCTTGGATCGAGACATTGGCTCGGCGAAAACGCTCTGGAAGGTGTCGAAAGCCTCAAATGCCAAATCACTATGCTAGTTGATTTGTGTGCATCAAATACATAAGAGATCTGAATTACATTCTGAGAGCTTGGAAACTTCAATCAGCAGCAACGGAATGGGTACAAATAATGCTTATAAATCCTTATTTAAGATCACAGGCATTATCTATTCCTCGCGGGACCAAGAAGGCAGCAGAGCTTTGCCACGATATGCACGAGGCCACACAGCCTGTGACATCAGGTGTTACTGAACCAAAAATTTTAGGCGTGTGGCAAACAAACCCTTATAATTAGGAGATAGTACAAGCAGGTGTTTTGAAATTTAAATATGGAAACATAAACACATCATCGTTTGAACTTGGAAAGATCAAACACGCGTGACGAAAATAGATCAAAACTGGAATCCGAGATTCAACTATCCGCAGTTCAAACTGGCCAAAGCGGCAAAATAAGCCAGTGACCCAGAATTAGAAAGACGGAACATGCCATCTAATCTAACACCTAAAAACAGTCACAGATAATCTACCAGCCTCCCTAAATCAAGGTGCTTCCTTGTACAAAATTTCACAAGGCGTCGGCAAATGCATCATTGCTGGCCTTGATCTCTCTCACGGTCAAGGCAGAATCAGACGTGCCGAGTTCAGGCCTGCTGATCGAAGCATTCTTCTACTGCAAGGGTTCGCTGATTCGGTGGACAGCAGTTGCCCGAACCCCCCCAGCCCCTGTCGAAAAATAAAGATTTCCACGTCAGCCTCCAGCAAAATGAAGTGGTTCCTTCTATAATTACGTCGGCCATTTCAATGAAACAGTTCAACTAAGAAGAAACGAAGTGACAGAACTAACCGGTGGCAACTCTGAGCTCTTGTATCCGATGCGCTTTACTGTTTGTTGCAATCCTTCCTGGGAAAAAGAAAAAAAGAGAGAAGAGAATCAGACGAAAATGGCCTTTGCATACCAGCAATGCTATTGAGGCAAATAATGACCACCACTTGGAAGTTAGAATGCATTGCTCATGATCCAGGGATCCTATCACTCAAAAATATCAACAACAAATTTCTTCTCCTTGCTTTCTTTGTGACAGTTTGGCATTTGGGTTTGTCATGGAGACAAAACAAGGGGGCTATATTGAAATCATGTTTTAGTTCAATTGGGATTAGGTAGTGCAATGCACTGTAAACGAAATGTACATGAAATTCTTCTTATTCTTATTCTATCTCAATTTGTTTTACTATGTGCACTTCCATGTACAGTAAAAATTTACCAGCACAATGAGCTTTTTATATTGGCCATAATAGTCGTTTACCAAGAAACAAGAAATGAATAGTGTACCATACATATTATCAAAGTATATACCTATAAGATTTATACAATAATAATGTAGGAAACATGACGTGAAGACAAAAAAATGCTGGCACCAAAAATGGGCACACTCACCAGCTGTTCCGGTAGCTTGTCAACCCTTTTTTCTATGAATTGGCAGAGATAATCCACCGCCACACATGAATAATTCTGTTGATAAGATATTTTTAGTCATCATGGAAGAAGACAATAGTTTACTGCACTTAGTTTGTATCATGCATTGAGGAGGAAAGACAATGGAATCCTCTACTTCCACTACTGTATGAGAAATTGAATCTGATCCAAAACACAAAAGCTTGACACTAAAATTGTTGAGTGTTCAACTTGAGAAATTCAATATTATGCCAATACTGCTCCGATAAGGATAAAGTTTACCTGTTTTGCTTCAATTGAATCCATCTTCTCATCCTGCACAACAGATAAATTTATGCTAAGACAACTGGAAAAACTATAAAACCAGTATGAAGCAAATGCAAGTTCAATATAAGCTCACCAGGCCCATAACCATATTTTTTATGTTATCCATGTCTGATCCAATGTTCTTGATTTTCAACTTTGCACCAGTAACCTGAATGAAGAAAAGCGGATATATGAGATTATACACAATACACTAAAGACTCCATCGTCTAGCTCATTCGTATTAGCAGCTGAGTTTGTATAATCAACGAATTATGCAAAAATAACATATTAACATTTCAGTTCACTGTAAGGTTTTGACGGTGTAGGTCAATGTAAATAACTCATGGAAACTAGCTTCACAGTTGTACATACATTTCCAAATCTGTTCTTTCTGTTTGAATGAACATAAAACATCCGGGGTTCTCTTTCAAGCAAAAGATACTGAATTTCAAAGTACCTGATCTCTTATTTGCACCGAAATCTCCTTCTGCTGTTCCAATTTATCATCCACGTGCTGAATGCGCTGTGATAAGTGCTTTTTAGCAGCCTGCACAAGTTGTGGCATTTAATACACTTAGATCATTTGAAAATCCCACAAGCTACTTAAGAAAATTGGTATGAATTCAAACAGGGCAGCATTTTGAAATCCGTGTTGGAGACCCATTTGAATCCTATGCTTCAACCATAGGGTTGATGAAAATATCTAATCATACAGCTATTTTTGAATAAAAAGTGAGATTAAGGCTTGTTTATAAATGAGGACTACAAATCTCCAAAGTTAGTTCAAAAGAATATTACAATTTTTATTTGTTGAGATAATACTTCAGTTAAATTGTCATTCAGCGTCCACCTAATTTACTAGACATAGTTGTGTGGTTCAACACCTAAGTTTATTAGACATAGTTAGGCCTCCATCTGCGGTCCTTGAGTTGCTCTGTTGTTCGTTGTTCATGATTTTTTCAGTGGCACGAGGTCTATTTCAGAATTTAATTTTTAATTTTTGCTTTGGGTGCTTTGTAATTAAACCTTGTTCTTCCTTAATGCAATGAGCCACAACTGTCCTACGCATTCAAGAAAAAAAATAGTAACCTAAATATGAGCATGAAGAGTATCATTATCTATTTCAGAGAGGAATATGTTATCATCCATTTGACAGTAATAGTGAGTACAAGTTGTGGTACTGCTGTCTAGAATATAATACAAATAATGTTCATTCATTCTGAATAGTAAAGGAAAATGAGATAATGACTTCGCTAGGGAAGGGATGCTGGTAGTACTTACAGCAAGAGAGCTCTGCACTTGTTCCAGATGCTTAGTCATGCTTGCAACAGCATTAGCCATATTGCGTTTAGTGACATACATCAAGCTAGAGAAGGAAATTCCCTGAAAGGCAACGGAGAGATTACAGTTAATCAAACAAGCCCTTTTCAATGCTTGTAGACAATCAGAACAGGATAAGCTCAAGTAAATAGCAAATGGCCTAACACAATTTTTTAGCGTTTTTATTTGTCTATGACATCTAGCTATAGGTTTTGGGACTGTAGTAGACTTTATATAGTTCAACAAAAAGGGTAGGACTTCAGAATTAGATCACAGTGGCCGGAAAGCAGGCCACTTGACTGTAGTCACACGCATAGATACTGCAACTAGGAAGAAGAAGGCAAAAGCCAATTTGCAGTTTTTATTTTATTTCTAAAAGAAGAGTAATCGGTATTGTCTGAAAGCATGGGTGTTCAGAACATGCTGATTTACTTAAATACAATGGGATTATATCACTGATGAACGATGATGAATGAAAAAAAAATCAACATCAATTGGGACTTACTTTCCACCACATGTAACAGTAGCCGACTGTCCCTACAGCAGCAGCAGGTACTATCAAAGCTGATCCAGCTGCAAAGAGGTAAAATTATTACTTAAGGAGGGCTTTAATCATGTTGACACAACAGTCCAAATAAAAGATACCGAATTTTACACATAAAGATCTGAAAGAACATTCTATTTGCAGGCTTACTTTAACACATGTTTGTTTGGTACCATATATATTCTAGCAGAAACAGATAGTGATACGCAAAGTAGCGGAATTTCAACACTTAGTTGTCATATAGCAGTAGCGGAGAAGAACAAATAAAAGAGATTTTCAGTTTGTCTCCATGCAATATGACGGTTTAGGGTTTAGTAAAGGATAATATGCATGCATGACGAGCCAATGCATGTTAATTAAGACAGGATTGGATGGTATGTAATGGTAAGACAGGAACCAGACAGCTAGCAGAACAAACAGATTCAAGAGCAGTACGTAGTTGAGAGGTGACAGACCTCCTCCGTTTCCTGTATCCACTTGAATAATAGGTCTTGTCGCGATGTGATGAACCTCATTGGTCAATTTAGCAAGTGCTTTAGCCACCTAAATAAAACAGATTGGGAGCCACAAAAACAGCGTGCTACATTAATTATGCTAGCACAAGGTACACGCATGGCGCGTCTTCATATACAAGCAGAAGCAGGGCGTTGCGCGATGCACGATGCACGCATGACGTACTATGTTAATGTCGTCGTTGACGGCGGCCGATTCCAATCCTGCCCCCTTCTCGCGAAGAGACTCCTGCGAAGACAGCATCATCAGGAAATCAAACGCGGATCAGAATTCAGAGCTGAAAGCACAATGCAAACACGCCGCAGGGTGTAGATCGTAGATCGATCGGAGCGGTGCGCCGCGCGACGCACCTGAAGATCGCGGAGGAGCTCGCCGAGTTTGCCGCTGCGGGCAGCGATGGGGCCGCCGACAGCACCTGCACGATCGATCCGATGGCAGATGAGAAAAAAGAGGAGAATTGGATGAAAAAAAAACAAAGGCACGCGCGTGTGGGCCGTGCGCAACGGCCGAGTGCGGGTTCTAAGCACCGGAAGAGCTAGCTAGCTCGATCTAGTAAATCATGGGGTAGCAGCAGGTCGATCGACGGGCAAGTGCGCAACGGAGTATGGGGCGGCGGCGTTACGCACCGATGCCGACGAGGAGGACGAGGCGGCCGAGGCCCATGCCGGCTTGCACCACGGCCATTGTGCTGCGTGCCCGCGGAGGCGGCGTGTGCTATATCTGGCTGCGTGCCCACCGCGGCGGCGGACAGGAGCTTAGGCGGCGTGGCGGGGGAGGAGCGAACTATAATAAACCCTGGCTTAGGCGAGCGGTCACGGTTATAACTGTGTCCAACCATACATCCAGTAGGGACACGAAGCCTCCTTATATTTAATAAATAATAATAGCTACAATAATAATATTCAGCAGGACGAAGGCACGCGAATCCGACGTCAGCCATACTACCACATTGCGGAAGCATGCATGGTTGCCCGGCGCTGGTGCCTGCCGTCGTTGAAGCCACCGTAGACCAATGCGCCAAGATCCTCTCCGGCCACCAAGTCACCAACCAGCCCTGCGAGTGCGGAACCAGCGTTGTGTCCCTGTAGCCCGCCCCGGTGCAGTACGGTGCAGCATCGTATCATGACGCCTGCCGCCCTGCGGCAGATACGGTGCAGCGCCGTCGCCGCCGGGGCGTCCTCCTGGCCCTTGGCGGCAGATACGGTGCAGCGCCGTCGCCGCCGGGGCGTCCTCCTGGCCCTTCGGCCCTTTCCCTGGAGGCGCGCGCTTGATCGTCCTTTTCTTTAGTTTGATTGACCAAGATCAAGCGAGGAGTTGCCTATTATGACAAACACCGGCACACCAAAAATATTGCCCAGGAGGCCAGGACGGCTATAACCGCTCTTTCCTAGGGAGCTTGTGCCCCTGTGATGGCGGGCACAGCGTTTTTGGATCTGTTGGGATTTTCACCAACGAGATCAGGCAAAACAGCCATCATCAATAGTCGAGGAAAAATACAGAAGCTTCGACACAATAACCCACGTATGTTGGTTTTTACACAAAATTCACTAGACTACACATACAATCTTTTGCCCTGCAGAGGTACGCTACAAAAAAACCCCTCTTTACTGTCAGCAATGCTGGAGGCAAACTACTAGTGCCGGCACCGTAGGCACACGCACACGCATGCTAGCAATTTCACCTAGCCGCAACAGTTGCCGACCTAATAATAGTACATGCCACTAGAATTTCATTCAGTGCCACCATGCCAGCCCAAGAGCTTGAATCTAGTCAGACTCATTGCCAGAATCCACATCAGCTGTAGCTTCACCACGATAGACGGCGGACTCTTTTTCATAACGTTTCTTGTCGACCTGGGCCTGCTGGATGTAAGGCTGCTTGTCTTCGCCTGCTCATGACAAGGAACGTGGGAACCGTAAGCACACAGCTTTTGTTTTAGCTGTAAACATGATGACAAAACATTGCAAAATTTGCCTCACAGATGAAACAATGCTGATACTATTACTCGGATAATATAATGGAGAGTGATCTAGAATATTACTTGACATCTTTTGCCACATCTCCCCAAGCTTCTTTGCAATCTCAGTCGTAGGCAAATCTGGGTTGCTGCTCTTCATGTTCTGCATCATCAAAAATAAACTTTAAACTTCTGTTCAATATCAGTTTCTAGTGTGGGAAGGTTTCTGCTCTACCCTGTCACAAAATATCTAAACGACCTAATATGCTGGGAATTATTAACCAAAGCAACTTACTCCTCGCTCAGCCATTGAGAAATACATGAACGGTGTCATTGCTCTTTTGGGGGCATTAGGATCTTTTTTCTTCTTTGCCTTTTTCTTCTCATGTCCTTCGTCATCCCTGCCCTTAGGCTTCCTTTTCTGAACTGGCTTTGAACTGCTTGCTTCCTTCTTGGATGATTTCTGTGGAGAAAAACAACTGCATATTACATCATGGCTTCAGGCTTGCTGGTCTACAACAACAATAAATTTAAAAATACCTCTTTTTCACCACCACTATCACTAGCATCTGATTCCTCATCACCCGAGTCATCAGTAGGAGATCCACTATCATCCTTATCCGCAACAAAATCTTCATCCTAAAATGAAGATAAATAATAAGTACATAGAAGGGCTCAGTAATAAGATTAACAAGGCAGCATACCTCTTCATCACTTTCATCATCCCCAGCCTGATTCTTAATACGTTCTAGATGTGGATCAACAGCATCATCATCAGTGTCTCGTAGAACATCTGTAACTACACCACTTGCACCTTGACCATCTCCTCCAAGGTTCATTATTTTAATGTTCTTTCCACTAAAAAAAATGTCAAAAAATAAGGATAGGAAAACTTAAGTTTCTGTATAACATGAAAGATGATGAAGGCAATAAAAGGGACAACATACGTGATGAAGTTGAAGAGGTTGTGGTACTCATTCCTTTGAATATTTCTGAAGAGATGCTCTTGGTCATTTTTCAGTTTGACAAGGAGGTCAAAATAGTGAGATGATATACTGGCACCCCCAGCACCATGGCGTTCAAATTCAACAAACTCAATCTGCATTGAGAATGTAATAAACAGCAGTTACTACGAATGGAGTCAATGGACACTGAGAGTTCCTACCACAAATATAAACTGATACCTCCTCATGAAGAATGAGTGTAGGTGGCTTTGGCAGGAAGAAGAAACCCTTTTCAAGCGGATACAACAGTCCATCTTCAGCTTTGAGTGATGATTTAACTGCATATCCATCATGGCAACTTCTGAAAGAACCTGGCCTTGTGACTTTAGCACCAGATAGACCACGAAGGACTTTGGTAAATACCTCATGTATTAGACCCTATGGATATATTGAGAACAGTGTAAGAAAAAGGAATAAGTTAAGTGTAGTTACCAGCAAGTATCGATTGCATACTTGTTAAAAAGAAATAAAAAAAATGACATGAGAGTTGCATAGAACTAGCTACTGACATAGTCCAATAAATGGAAGATTGCCTAAACGGCAAATTTTTCAAGGATTTCTAAAACTTAAGCTCTACATCTTCATACTTGCAAACATCAGCATACATTATTCTTTTAGAAAAATAAAGAAGGTGAAAAGCCATGGAGCCTTAGTTGACCATGAAGAGGGAAAAATTAGCCGCCCAGTAAATTACCACCAAAAGCATGCAATATTGTATAAAATCAGCACATGTATTGACTTAAGAGCACAGAAATTCAGACTATCAATGTTCAATCTTTTTTGTATAATTATAGCAACACATACTACAACCATCCCCCGAAAACCCAAACGTATCTAAAATATTATGGTTTAGCCTTCTGCAAGGAGAGGCAGAACATTACAATTTATCCTGACTGATATTGTCTCTCATAATGCCCAACAAATTCAGATAAAAAATTGCATGGATGAGCATGAAAAAACATTTGGAATAATTAGTATTCCGTTCCTCAATATACATCTATTTTAATATTAGAAGTCCTAGTAAATTAGATCAACTATTTCAATATGGAGAGTAGTAGGTATTAAAATAGTTCTTTTCTCAAATTATGAAAATATAATGGAGAATACTGGAACATGGAATTAAGGAGACAGCACACTGTTGCACAGTCCCTTGATAACAGAAGATGGGCGCAAAATATTAAAGGAACCCTCACTGTCCAGGTTATAATGAAGTATCTGCAGATTTGGATAGGATACATATCAAAAGAGTAATCAAGTGTTTGCTCAGCCTAACTTCACATATCAGCTTCAAATCCAAAACACATTTGGCAAAGGCATAGCACAATTATTAAGAAAGCATAGAAGGCAAGATGCATTATGCTAATGGAAAAAGCTCGCAGGTGACCACAATCTCTCTCAACAGGATACACCATGCTTGAGATGGAGTTCGCCATACTCAGAAATTTTGTTTCGACATGTTAATTTTATTTTAGAAACTAGGATTCAGTCTTCAACTGTAAACAGTATTCTTTCAAATCAACAGACACCACCTTGTAAGATTCCTCAAGCCTGTCCTTGTATTTGTCAACCAACAGCTCTTTACTCAATGCCAGGTCTCTTTCAACTACTGCCTCTGTCTCAAACTATTAAGAGATAAGGGAACAAATTAGTCTATCTATTCAAAACAAATCCTGAAATGAAGTGGTAATATGACTATAACCAACTAAACATTATGAAAAAATTGCAGTGCAATACCTGAATAACAATGTGAGGATACAATGTTTGTCCTTTACGGATTGGTGGATCAAGAGTGATAACAACAAACGTATGAGGATTGTTTGACTGCAAAGCTCAACCATGCAATGGGTTTAGTTACATGTCAGAGTGTAATATTATGCACAACAATAAAGCACAGCTCAACATAGGATACAAGAACAGAACCTTTGGCAAAAGAAAGAGGCGAACGATGCTGCTGTATTGGATTTTGAAATCATTAGCTTGTCCTTGGAGTCGCAGAAATGACAGATGAAGCTCAACACTATAACGTCCTCTGTATTGCCAAAACAAAAAATCGTTAGCTTTTTAAGCTCAACAATCTTGTGTTTCTCATAAGGTAAATTGTTCATATTTTCCACCTTGGTGTAAGAATCGCAATTCCATCAAACGTGACAACTGGTTCTTCAGAAGAACCAACATCAGCAAATTTCAATATAGTCTCCCATAAAATCTACAGAAAATAGATAGGTTTTCATTAGTTACTATTTTGCAACTTCAATGTGCTTCATTTAAACAGTGCTTACTGAGTGAGCTTACGTGAGCCGGAGGGCGATTCTCATCCCCAACAAACTGAGTATTCGAAGTAGGCACATGAAAACTTAAATCCATGAGGGAGTCTTTCTGCAACCATGAGGGATTAAAATGTTAGCACAGTACTATGGCAATGCAGAAAATATGAGTGGATCCACTACAGCTGCTGTCCACTACAAACCTCATTGGCTCCAGTAGTATCATCAACATGAAGCTCTAAGAGAACATCTGTTTTTCCTTGCATCTGGGTTTGTGCAACATCTGCTAGGGATACTTCAAATGCTTGCTTTGAACCAACCATAAAGGTTAGCATGTTTCCTACAGAGGCAAGGGTAACAAACATTAAAATCAAACTGAACATATGTTAAAAGGGGTCCCATGGTAAAATAATAAAAGGTCACCCAAATTACCATCTATATCAATCCCTCCCCAATTGTGGCCACTAACAGAAAGCTGTTTTTCATCTGGTGTGACGCCCATATTCTTTTGTATGAAGTTGGTCAAGCTGCTCACATCCTATGCAAGAAAGGACAAGATCAAATATTTTCGTCAGGTAACAATAAGAGAAATATATTAACCTCACCAATCATCTTTACTGAAAAGTCAAAGCATACTCTCAGAAATGACTGACAATATTTCAAGAAAACCAAATCCAAAGAAAATCTGATAATCCAAATATAATTTTGAATTTTCCATCTTTGAATAACACTGCATACAGAATCATGAACACTATTCCTTCAAATATTATCTATAGGTAAGTCTTAACTACATAATAGATACAGTATGTACAAAAGACAGCATATTCTGCAAGACTTGTTTATGACAGGCATACCAAGTGGCAGTAACTGTTCACCTTAATTTGAACAAGAGTTTGCTTTAGTGAATATAAAGATCGAACTGCTCATGGTTTAATCAACACATGAAAAACATATACCAAAATAAGATGTCACATATAGCAAGGCAGAAACTATTCAGTTTCACAGCAGAGTAACTTGGGCAAACTAAGCATTCTCCTTTTCCATGATCTAATTCACATTAAAGCGATATTCATTATAATCATATGCCATATTAAGATAGAAAATCTGGTCAGCAATGTGAATTTCCAAATTCTAAGAAAACTAGACAAAGCTAGTGCTACTTTTAACTGTATAAGTTTTGCATCAACAAATATATCCTAATTTTACTGAGAAATGTATCCAGATTCAAGTGTTCTAAATACACAATTCTCTAGATGCACCAGCCTCTTTATTTCCATTACCAACACCATTAATAAACCACATACTATTAAAAGGCTGGGGACCTGTTCACGGAAGCCAATAAATCTGTAGAACAGGCCATCCTTAATCCTGACTCCAAGCTGATATGCTCTGGGGACTTTCATCCAAGTAACTGCGGTTACATCAGCTTTGTCGATCTCAATGGTCTTTCCTCCACCTTGTCTCTTCCATGCAAGTCCACCAGAATACACTTTAAACTGACCAGGGTTCTGCACAGGTGCAAGGGTCATGACAGTATGTTAATATTCTAAACGTTCACAAAAAGTAATAAATTGTATACCATTCAAGAGCAGCAAACTGCCAAACACAGGTGCAGAAACAGTAATAGATCTTGAACGGAAGGAATGCAAAACATTTAATCTCAGGATTCATAAGTATAGGTATAATACCAAAGATGGTCAGGCGTCAGATAAGATTATTACTAGATCATTTTCCAATGCATAAGTTGTGAGAGTGCTCCATGTATTATAGGATCTAGGTTAGGGCAAGCATTGTTTTGTACATTAAGATAAGTACACAAAAGATATCGACAACATGGTTAATTGTGTCAATGGAAACACAATAATTTGATAAGCACAGAGAGACTGTGCTTTCTTTTGGCGTACAGAGAAGGGGAGCCTACAAAGGCATCATGTTGTATTGTATTCTTCTTGTAAGCTTAAAAAAAACGGAGAAGAGATTTGTAATTTCCTACTAGTAGATATAGGCGTCCTTGTATTCTGCAGCTGTCAAGCCTAGAAAACACTCTAGCCCCCAAACCCATAATCTAAGGTTTCGCATGAAAACCTCGGCACAAATTGGCCAAACCCAGGCCACAACAACGAAATCCAACAAGTCAGTGAGGAAACGCCCCCAACCAAGCACCTGAGTCAACCAAATGGAGCAGAGAAACAAACCAAAGCGAAATTTGGCCTAAAATACGGCACAACCCCTAAAACCCGACCAATACGCAGCCGCAGCTAATCGTCGGGGGAAAAATGGGCTAACCAGTTAAAATCACTAGCTTATCAGAAGTTCGCCAGCCACGACGTCATCTCACGGACTCACGATATCCTATTTTCGGACCAAACCCTAGAGTCGACCAAGCGGCGGCGGAGGCGGAGCTTACCGTGCCACCGCGCCCTCCGAGGAGGATGTTGTTGAAGTGGTGGCCGTCCGTCATCTCCGCCGACGCGGCACCTGGGGCCGAATGCTTGCTATCTCCCGCGCGCCGCCTCTACTCGAGCTCCGCTTCTCCGGCGAGGCCAAGTCGAGAGGCGCAGCTTGCTTCGCAGCGGCTCTGCGGTGCGGAGGCGGTAGAGGGAGGCGCGCGGCTCAGCGAGGGCTGTTGTTTGAGAGCCGCAGCGAAATTGGTTGCCATCTCACTGACGTTAGTTATATAGAGAGCCGCAGCGAAATTGGTCGCCATCTCACTGACGTTAGGGTCCCACCTGTCAGCAGCCGCCCGGTAGAGGCTCCTGGAAGTGGGGCCCGCATGTCAGTCACGCTTCCGCGCTCCCTTCTCGTCCCTTCTCGTCCCCACTTCTCCATTCCCCTCGCGGTTTGCGCATCCTCTGCCTCCCTGCATCTCTCTCTGCGCTCCTGCCTCCTGGTGCTCGGCCATGGCGGACTATCACTTCGTGTACAAGGACGTGGAGGGGAGGAGCACAGAGTGGGACGACATCCAGCGCCGCCTCGGGAACCTGCCTCCGAAGCCGGAGCCCTTCAAGCCGCCGCCCTTCGCCCCCAAGGTCGACGCCGACGAGCAGCCCAAGTTAAAGGAATGGCTCGACGAGCGCGAGCCCGAAGAGCTTGAGGAACTCGAGGACGACCTGGACGACGACCGCTTCCTCGAGCAGTACAGGTAGGGCCTCTCCGTAGGCTCGATCCAGTCTGCAGTCTGATTGCTGATCCGTGATGCTGTCTTTTCCCCGTCTGTTATTAGATGCATCTTAAGAAGCTTTAGTGCCTACCGCGTTTGATTGATCTGATCTGACTAGCGTGGTTAATTGGTATAATTCGTGTGCTTCTGATAGGAATCTGATGTCTTTCTATTGTTGATCCGGATTCCTCGCAGTAGTCCGGGCTTTGGATTATTCAATGCGTTTGCGATTCGTTTGGTACAAGTGGGAATTTATTGTGACGATTTGATGTAATTCGATGCCTGCAGGAAGATGAGGCTCGCAGAGCTGAGGGAGGCCGCAAAAGCCTCGCGATTTGGTAGTATAGTTCCCATCACTGGCTCAGACTTCGTGCGAGAGGTGTCTCAGGCACCATCAGATGTTTGGGTTGTGGTCTTCCTCTACAAGGATGGGTAACTCTTTCTTCACAGTTCACTGCATCCTTTTGCATGTTATGTCAATGATTATGCATGGGAGAACAATTCTAGGGTTTATTTTGTATGATTCGACCAAACAGCTCTGGAACCAGATTGAACTAAATTCAGACTTTGACTGCACTTTATTTTTAGTTGTGTTGGTTTTCTATAGAAAGTTGCCTGAAAAGACTAGGCAACTATGAAATTTGACTATGGTTGGCTGGATATAGGAATTCTGATACTTGTGCTGTGCGTCATTGGCTCGTAGCCAGACATTTTATTGCTGTGAAATAGGTCCCAGCAGCTCGTACCTTCGATATATATGATCTGTGAACATGCTTTCTTTTTCTTCTTGTCGAACGCGCTGGAGAGTTGCATGCCTTTTCATTGATAGATAGAAAAAATGGTCCGATTACAAACCGATTCCACGGGGTTGCGTGAACACACCCATTTAAACAATACATGCAGCCGCTACTAGCAGTCGCCTACTCAGCTCGCTCTAGCAGCACACGCGGCCTTCGCGACTGCCATGGTCTAGAAATGTGCTTAATCGCTTGCCTCTTTGATTACTGCCGAGACCGACGGTGTGATTCCATCAAATACACATTGGTTTCTTTGTTTCCATAGAGTCCGCGCCAGGAAGAGCACCAGTGAATTGAGGCCCTTCCTCGCCACCTTTGGATCCCTATGTGTCGCCTTGCACCACCATGTTTGGAAGCTGTCGTGCACGGACGGTGCTAGTGCTTGTAGGCTGTGGGCAGTGGACCAAACCTGGTGGGAGAAGACTCAGGTTGACATGAGGTGCTCAATTCCTTCCTCCTGGGTCGCAAAGTGGGCAGCAAGATGAGTGCATCAGACCGTGATGTGTCAGTCTATCCGCCGTCCAGCATCTGTTGTGCCCCGCTAGCCACAGGAAGAATTTCAGCGAAGCGGCAGCCAAGACTTCCAGAGTTGCTTGCAGGGTTCAAAGGAGGTGGAACTGACAAAGAAGTGAGCATGCTTTCATGACCATATAACAAATAGATAGCTTGGCAATTCTTGGATTTAGTGGACATTATTCTGTTGATTTGTCCACCACTTTAAGCTGTAATGTAATTAGTTGATTGTCATGCTGCAGTTTTTCAGCATGTAGGATCTTCCATGAAATTGTTGCTCTTTTCTGTATGATGTTTTACTGCTTCCATGTGTTGCTTGCATCAAAATTGTACAGAAAGGATATCTGAATTCATTGGAGTGTAATGAGCTCCATACATGATCTGATGCATGAAGCATGATGTTCTTTAGTAAATTGTGGCGCTTATCGAATTCTATGAATCTGATGACAGGATACCTGAATGTGGATTGCTTCAGAATTGTTTGGAGGAATTGGCTACAAGATACCCAGCGACAAAGTTTGTTAAAATTATCTCCACAGACTGCATCCCCAACTACCCAGATAGGAATGTTCCTACAATACTGGTGTATAACAACAGTGCTGTCAAAGGGACTTATGTTGGTTTGCAGAAATTTGGTGGAAAGAGATGCACACCTGAATGTAAGTTACTACTCGTATACTGCAAATTAGTATTCAGTATCTGCTTTTCCTGTTAGTTGAGTGATTCCAGTTGCTCGAATTCTATGTGCTGTTGATTGGTCTTTTTTGAGCTCACACCTGTAAATTTATGAATGGCATATTGGCCTATGCCATTTAGCCCCCAAAATCCGCTTCCTTTTGGATATACCACCTGAACTTCCTTAACTAAAGCAAAATATTTTGACCTTCAGGTGATAATTTTTTTTAAAAAAAAAATCAATAGTAAACAATTCATTATGACCTGCATGCCTTAATGCATACACTCCCCAGATCCAGTCTTGATTTGTCTGCGTTGTTTCATGTGTCAAATATTTCGGTGGTGTTTGTCTAAAATAGCAGCATGCTGGTTCCCAGTTATACATTAGTCTTAGCATATCATTGATCCTTTTCTGTAATAAGAAATTAGAGAATAATCTTTCACATTTAGATTACACTAAATTTATGGAAGCTTTCCTTTACCTCAACATCGTTCCAGAAATTCTTTTCCCAGCGATATACTTGGGTTTCATCTATTTACGCCAAGTCACTGTTATGTTCCTTTCAGCTGTTGCATTAGCCCTTTGCCAGTCAGACCCGGTACTGAATGATGGGCATGGTGGCAGCGATTCATCTCGGGACAATGTCATCGAAGGTGTTCGCAGGAAGTTCATAGAGAAGGTTGTGGCCCAGCATGAAGAGCGGGAAGAAGAGGATAGTGACTAAGCTTATACTTTTTGTGTTAGTTTTCCTCAGCTGGCAGATCCAATTTGGTTCCAACGTTTACTGATTTTATTATGTGATTTTGTGGGTGAAATTTGCCAGAGTTTTCTGGTTACCAGGTTGTGCGGATGAAGCCTTTAATCCGGATCTTGTTGCCTGGTTTTGCAGTTAGAGATGTGTGAATCATAACTGTATGGGGCCAGCAGAATCTTTGTGTTAGTAACCTTTCAGCTGTAACATAGCTCCATTATCTTGTTTAAGAGATCAGAGATTATTAGTGCACTTGTATAGCATGAGAAAAGATCCACCCAAACCTTTGCATCCATAGTATTTCACTATCCTGAACATTTCTCGACACAAAACATTATAACTAAAGTTATCTAATTTGTGTATATGCATGTTTATGATCCTTTGTGAATCAGTTAAGAGTGCAATTTGTGGATCCCGCAAGCCCACGAGGGGTTCGTAGCCAGGCTTCCTGGAAACGAGCGGGCGTATGTGGCTTCCACGGTGCACCGAATAAAACCTGCCTTCAGCGTCCACCTGCTAGGGTTATTGCTCTCATTCACCACTCCACGCGTTGCTGCTCTCTCACTCTCTCCCTGTTCCTTCTCTACCGCTGCTGGGGTTCCCAGAAGGTCGTCCCCCCCTTCCCAAGTGCTCGTAGGCGAGTAACTGAGGACGCGAACCAGAACTCTTTCTATTTGCTTGTCCTTGTAACACAAGTCTTTCTATTTATTCAGATCCAATTGTTTCTTGTCTGTTCTAGTGTTGGTTATGACTGGATCTGTTGACTAATCCAGCTTTCCTTTGTTACACTTCGTGGTTTTTGCTTCTCCTCTGGCATATATTTACTTGATTTTAGTGCCGAGTCTTAGGGAATGGTCGATGATTTTTCTAGATCTGGGTGACGCATGTCGCAGTCGATCCCTTGTTTATAATCTTAAATAGGGATTTTTCATACTCATGCACCGACGGCCATACTAATGAGCTTTGCAATGGGACCAGGCAATCAAACACACCCATATTCAACACAAACCTTCCATTTCTTGGATAGAACCATGAAAAATCCACAAATATACTCATGAGTTTTTTGATAAAAAAAAGTGTGAAACGATGCACACCTATAGTACATCTACAATGTTATAAAAAATGAGATTCAAACTTGTTTTTTGTGAAATTCATGACTTTGTCTTTTTACATATATGCAATTAAATTTGTCATTTTCGTATAATTTTTCTAGATTGAGTTGAATACAAAATTTTATGACAATACACATCTATAGATGTGCATCGTTTCAGTTTTTTTTTAACTTTCAAATTAGAAGTTGTTCTGACTTTTTCAGATATAAAGTTTTTACTACATATGTATACATATATAGATACATAACAAAAACTATATATCTAGAAAAAAATCAGAAGAACGACTTACTTCCTTTATTCCAGAAAGAATGCAATTCTTAATTTTTGATGAGTCAACTGATTTAAACTTTGATCAAAATTATATAAAAACTACTAAAATTTATGATACAAAATAAGTATTAACCAATTAATTATAGAATATATTTTCATAATTGGAGACGTAGATGCTAATATTGTTTACTATAAATTTGGTCAAACCGGAGTTAGCTTGACTGTCACGGATCCTAAAATTATATTATTTTTGGGATAGAGGAGCATAATTTAGGGCAAAGTATATATTTACAGTTTTACTTGATTTTCATCAAAAAAATACAATTTTTACACAGACTTTCCCGTCTTAAAATAAGTACATTTGTAGCGTTTTAAATTTGTTCCACAATACAAGTACTTTTAGCTTATATATATGGACTACATTATGCTATTAGTTTCTTTATTTTCAGCGTGTGATCATTATTATACGTTGATATACTTTTTTATATATAATTATATATAAAAAAGTGTATTTGTTTAGAGTTTTTTTTAGGAATATTTATTTAGGAGGGAGAGGGACCGAGGGAGTACATATTTGGCTGGCTGGCTATGTATGCTTTTCATTTCAACAGGGAAATGTATGTTCTCCAAAGCTTTCGACGTACAGGGATCGACGGGAATCAGTGCTACGAGCGTCTCTGACGCGAGAGCGGGACGATCGGCCTATGCCGGAGCGTACTGTAGCTGCCACCAATGGCTAGCATTAGGACCCCAAAAGATCTGAGAATTTTTTTTAAATAATATTTTTTAATAATTAACTGCGAATGTAGCATTTGATTAAAAAGAATTGCAAATCTAGTATCCTGTCGGCCATTGGATAGCCGACTGGACGACTATCGGCTTCTGGAGCGCCAACAGAATCCGATCGGCCGTCCAGCGGCCGCCATGCTGCTATCGGCGCCGACAAGCCAGCGTCGGCTGTCATGTCACCCCTATCGTCAGCTGAGACGCCGACACGATACCTATCAGCTTCCCAGTGGCCGACAGGATGCTATAAGAAAAAAATTTCAAGATCTGATGCATCTGCTTAATATATATAGTTGCATATATAATTAATTAGTTAATAATAAATAAAATGCTATAGCAAATAGCAGTACATTACATGTATATGTTGTGGAACGACAAAATCGTATGGGCGCGGTGGATGGAAGAAGTGACCGATATGGGTGGATAATGGCGGCGGATGGCGAGAGCGTGCGCGCGAGCACACCGCATGCACTCGTGCCGGCCGGACACGGATCGATCGGAGCCATCGAGTTGATCAGTAAATGCCTGCCCAACCAGCGGAGTCACCGATCAGATCGTCGGAGACGCACGCCGTTGGAGCAGGGCATGGGCATGCACACGTACATGTACTGCAGCCCCCCCGAGACCTAGGGGCGCGCCATCCATGTGGATCGATCGGCAATAGCGAGGGCAGCGCTGTTGCCACTACTTTTACGTACGCGCGTGAGCTAGCGAACCATCCCTCGCACACCTGACGCGTCGTGGGTCTCCCCTGTCGTGTCTCCTCTTCCCCGCCCCGCCCCGCCCACGCGACGCCCCAGCCCAATCCGCTAGCCCTTCGGCGAGCCGCGCGCCACCAGCTCGCCCCGCAGCCCACCGCGTCCGCCTTCGCACCGCCCCACGCGCGACGAGCACGCCCTAGCGCCCCATGGCAGCACCCCCGTCCGCTAGGCCCCCGGCGAGCCACGCCCTCCCCCAGGCGAACAACATAAAACGCTCGAATAAAACATTTGCAACAACATGAATCAACTGCTGAAACATTTGGAACATATTATTACAACATTTGTGTGAAGCATATGAAACAACGCTCGAATAAAACACTTGAAACAACATGGAACAACTGCTGCAACATAAGACTGAAGCAACTGAAATATTTGGAACATATTATTGCAACATTTGTGTGAATCATATGAAACATCCAGATCAGAACGATTGCAATATACGTCTAGAAACATGTGAAACATTTTGAGCAAATGCTTGCAACATGCCTTTGAAACACTTGCAACATGTGCAACATCTCCCGATCTACTTTTGCAACATCCATATGATTTAACTGCAACATACCTCTGAAATATCTGAAACAATTAAAACATACAATTGCAACACAGGGAGAGCCTGGTGCGCGGAGCGCCATGGCCACCATATCTGAGGGCGTTGGGAGCTCCTTGTGAGTGAGGACGTTGGTGTCAGGAGAGGGGCGCCGCCAAGGTGGGGGAGGAGGATGCTAGGGTAGGGGAAGGAGTCACCGGGGTGGGGGAGGAGGACGCCAGGGTGCGTGAAGGAGCTGCTGGTGTGGGAGAAGGCACCGCCGGGGTGGGGGAGGAGGATGCCGCGGTGGGGAAGGGTGCCGACGTCGGCCAGGGAGGGAGCCGGCGGAGCACGCGACGGAGAGGAGCGGGCCGCTGCCGGTCATGGAGGGAGCAAGCGACACACACGATGGAGAGGAGCGGAGCGCTGTCAGCTGAGAGGAAGAGAAATGCATCCGTTCTCAACGATGGAGAGTAGTTTTAGATGGGCCATGAGGGGGGAGCGGGCCGCACAGCTCCGTAGGCCCACAGGAGGCGTGTCCGGACGGGACGGTCGCCCGTATCCAATCATTATCGAAAGAAAAACTGACTTTATTTTATAATGACGTGTGTCGTGACACTATTACGGATTTTCAATGCATGGAAATGATGCTAGGTGTCGTGGCTGCAGATATAACGTTCCTGGCTTTTGCAATGCCACGGTGATGGTGATCTCAGAAAAGTTGCCCAACAAACACACTAGAGCAGAGTAATAAATAATTTAGAGTTTTTCCTTATTTCACAAAAAATACAGTTTTTACACGTACCCTGTCTTAAAATTTTTAAAAAAGCATTTAAAAATTCTTCCACTGTAAAAGTACTTTTAGCTTATGGACTACAAATGCTATTAGTTTCTTTATTTTCAGCGTGTAATCATTATTATACGTTGATATACTTTTAGAATTTTGCTATTTATCTGTTGACAGATTTCTTTGTGCTAAATCTGTCAGATTTATGTATGTTGGATTATGCTCTAAGATATGTGTTCCCATTTCACGTGCCTGAACCTGATTGCTTCTGCTGGGTTTCAACTCTAGCCTACCCCAATTTATTTGAGACTTAAAGGCTTTGTTGTTGTTGTTGTTGTTGTTGTTGTTGTGTATATGTGTTCCCATTGACTTTACGCTTTAAGGATACGTGTTCCCATTGTGCTAAATTTGTTCGTGTGTTATTGGATTTTTGTTCTGCATACCCGTTAAGTGATCTTTGGCTAGTTTTGTGAAATTTGATAGACTTGTTGATACACCTATCTGTCAGATTTTATAATGTCCTGAAAAACAACAGATTTTGACAGCCCAAATCTGTCAACAGATGGATAAACAGGCCTATAATTATATACTAAAAGTGCATTTGTTTTAAGGTTTTATTTAGGAGGGAGAGGGACCGAGGGAGTAATATTTGCCGGTCCATCACGCAGTCAACAGCATGCAATCGGTACGAGGCAGCCGTGGACCCGTCGATGTTGCGGTTGGAGTTCCAT